TTGGAAGTGATATTCGTGATCACCGCGAAATTCTCTATCGAATGGTGTATGAAGTGTCGAAAAATAAATTTCACTGCAAGGCTGCCCTGGGTGCATCTTACACATGAGAGAAAAAAATGATTTTCTGCACGGACAAACACGAGCAGGGAAAAAAATTCACGGACAGGCACGGACAAGCATCCTCAGTAGAGTAGAGTTACAGACACGGGCAAAAAAATCTTGCCCATGCAGATCTCTAGTTGCATTGTCTTTCTTACTATTACCTTCTCTTTCTTTTGAAAGATTTTTCATTTCTCTTCTGAGATTCCCAGCAGGTGGTCGTTGATGTTGTACTGAGGTATTGAAAGTCCAATTTTCTCTTGTTCAACAAAATTTAGGACGTTAAAGATAAGTTTCTTTTCATCTTTCGAAAATTCGCGACCCCGATGCATCGCGGAAGGGCTTAATAACAGCAGTGGGTTTAAAAATATAAATAAGATTTGTAAACGATAAATATTATTCCTCCCTCAATAATACATAACAGAATGTAGAATACTATGAAAAATGTTAGTAGTAAGTAGTAGTAGTAGTAGTAGTAGCAATTTTATTTAGTCCATGCTCTTAAAGCTGACTTGGTGATGATAAAAGTTTAAAAGAAACTTTGTTTAGATCATACCGAACAAAAAAAAACTTGCTTGATTGTCATTATTTCTAAGCTAGTATTCTAACACATTCTCTGCATAATGAAACGTCGGTTCAAGGTTAAATGAGTAGAAAAACGTGAATAACGGTTGATATGGTGATTCTTGAGTATCCTCATCCTATATAGAAGCTGTTCTATTATGAAATAACGAACGAATAATAAACGTTGTCACAAGACGCAGCATGGTCGAAAGCCTATGTTTCTATTTGTTTTTCAGATTACTAGGTGGTTTTATACCAGTCATAGAGCTTTCGGGAAAATCCGTCCAGTACCTGAACGACAAACGTTAGAAGTCTCAGATTTTCGGCAATATATAGCACCAAGGTCGATGCTACTAACCCATTACCGAGCGGGAAAAACTCCAATAGAAAGCTTTTGTGTAGCACCATCATCTTTAACGATGCGAAAGATACTTCATCTGCAGATGGTAGTGAAAAAACTTTATAATAATTAATTTAATAGACAGATGTAGTAAAGTCTTCTCTATTAAATGGCGAGAATCGAAAGTCTCTAGCTACCGTTGTTCAAAAGTTATTCAAAAACTAGCTACAGGTACCGTTTTTTCAAATGGATATTTGCTAGTTGATGTACTTTTTCTATAAGGTTAAAGGAAGTTCACTTCTGCGCATGTTTCTTCTACTGTAATTTTTCCCGTTACTTTGAAACTGAAATATCGTTTCTTATTAGTTAACAATTACAAAATTACAAGTTTATAGAAGACACATTCTCTATTTGATTTTCTTTTGCTGTTGTTCATTATCTTCTTTTGGTTTTCTATTGTTTGTCAAATATGAAACGTAGAAAAAGTGTATGAATAATATTAAATAAGCTGAATAGAGTGATATTGACCAAAATATGTTTTCATAGCTAACAGAACATTTTAATCGATTTGATTTGTATTCATAGGCTTTTATATTAACAAAACATCCTAACGCCATTTGTATTAATTGTAATAGAGTTATTGTTTGTTGTATTAATAATGGGACACGTATTTGAAGTGCACGTAAAGCATAATACGAATACATTAGAGAATGAACGATAAAATTCATACACACAAACCATCGGCCGCTTGACTGGAAATAACCATAACTAAACACATTTAGTACTGTAGATGAGGAATTGATGCGAGAAAAACAAACATTTTTCAGTAATAACAGATCAAAAAACTGTAATACTGCACATATTTGACTCCAAAATATAGATGTTAAAATCGTTCAATTTACCTGTAGAAGCAATAAATTAACACACTAGCATGATGAAACCAATGTAAAAACATCAGTTTTTGTTTTCGCAGTACAATGAACAATGTATCAATCATTTCGGGTGTTTTTGATAACATAAATAACCATGCCCTATAGAAATATGAATAATGTGTTTGTAAAGAATTAAACAAGTTCTAGCAGAGAATAGAGACTAGTTAAAATTTTTTTTTCTTTTCTTACTTACCAGTAGCCTGTCACACCATATTTGTAAGATTTATCACATATTGAATAGTGAAGACCATGTTGTGATAGTGAATATATCATTTCTGGTAAAGATCTTACTGTACCCCAAATACTAAACGCTGCTAATGTGCAATTCCATATTATTAAGTAAAAACGTAAATTGTAGCCCGTCACATGTGATGACATAAGTTTTCGTCCGTAGAAAACAAGTAGAACATACACAAATGCATAAATTAAACTTGACCACCAATATTTTTCCATGTATTTTTGTGTTAATTGACTGTAATTATGATCAAACATTTTCATTTCAAAATTAAATACATACGGATGATACATGCCATTTGGATCACGAATCCAACGATTTAAAAAAAAGTATGATTCGTTCAACATTTTCTAATTAATTTCTAAATATTCAAATTCAACTATAGAGAAAAGTATATTTGTTAATATATATGTTACAGAATATAGAAATAGTATGTTTTATGTACTTTATTCTAATAAAATATCTTTTTAATTTACGTAATTCCAAGAGGATGAGTACATTGAGTTCTGTTATGTAATGTACACGTGTTAGAGTCTACGCATGGTAGACTAAGACAAATTTCAACTTTACATTAAAACAATTTCCATTAATAACCAGTTAAATATGATTTTCTATTTATTCCTATTTTATTCATTTAGTTAGTGGAATAAAATTGACAGAAATAAAATTTAAAAAAAAATTCGCATTTTGATGTTTTGTACATACACTGTATTTGTAAAGACAAACATCTTTTTTCATTTTCAATTGAGTTTCATTGTAACTAAATGAACTTTATTCCACATGTCATTGTGTATTATGTACATAACAGGTAAAATTTTGTTAAAAGAATCATGAGTAAGAGAAGAAGAAAAAAGGTGGCCATAGTACGTTACAAAGTACAAAGAACAAAGTTTAAGATATGCTTCAGTATTTTAATTAAATAATACTGATCATCACCTCTAATAGGAACAAGTGACTTAAAGTCAATTGCTCACTCTTTTTAAAACATTTTTTGTGAATATTGTTGCAAAGATTTGTTCATCAGATTAAGCAAATAGCTTTTACTCGACCACTATTACGTAAATTACGTAACTAAACGTCCTATCTATAACTTCAAATGTCTCCATGAACATCTGGTACTAATGCTATGAAAGTATCTATTTAAAAAAATTATATCAATATTAATGGTTGGGTCGAAATGTTTAATAACTAGTCCTGTAAAATTTTGCAAATCGTAGCATTCCAGATATTATCATAAAATAGGGCTTAACACGTAACTGACCAAACTTTTTAAACATAAAAAAAAAAATTCTATAGTAAAATTTTCTATGAATGATATGAATCAGGACAAGACAAAAGCTCATTTAAATTTTTAAACAGTTTGTATTTTAGTAAAAAGAAAATATATGAAAAACATATCCTCATTTTCTAATCTATTCAGTAGGGATAGAACCAAGAATCGAAATCTCGATTCTGGTTCTCAAGTTAGAATAAAATCGCAATACTTGATTCTTAGCTTAGAATTAGAAAAGATTTTTTCAGACAGTAACAATTTTAATGAAATACAATTCATTTTATCTGGAAAGACGTTTTTTTTTAAGTGATGATAGGCCAATGTATCTTTTCGTAGCTTTAACAAATAATATATTTCTATTTTGTTAAAAGCAACGGCACGACAAAAGATGAGGCAAAAGAGAAGAGAACGAGTTATTTTTCGCTTTTTGTACTCTCTGTAAAGAAATACAAATTTAATCGTCTGTTCACGCATGTTCTTTTTTCTATCAACATTGTACTTTACTCTCGTCTGATCATAACAGTTCGTTCATTTTCTTGAATAAAATATTTCTATCTTTGTTGAATCATTGATTAGTTTAAACAAATCATAGTACAAGTAAACATCTTCGTATTATGTCTACTAGAAAAGAACTTGGGCATCTTTATTTTTTGTCATTAATAGTTCCTTGAACGCCAATATACAAATATAACATTTAAATTGAATGATATAATGGACACAAATCTTTAGGAGAATGTTCTTTTGTCTACTTTATGTTGAAGTTGCACAAAAGTATATGATTATGAACACTAAACATAATGTCCTCGAAATATAAGTATAACGGGTGGCCCAGAAATAATGCCACACTTTTGCAACTTATTTCCGTGCACTTAACTGAGGTTTTAAGACTCGATTCTTAGACTCATTTGATAGAGAATTTTCTGCTCTACAAAATCCATTACCTTCTTTCATTACATATTATTTTATTATCTAAAAAGATTGTGTAGAGTAAGGACACGTAAAAACTATAACTGCGATTTACTATCAAAATTTTGATGGCTTTTTGACTTTTGTGTAATTTTTCGAAAAATAATATGATAACTGAGAAAGAAGGTGATATACAAATGATCAGCGGATTGAGGACTATCATCCAGACTACGCTGCTTCTGCGTTTCGTCACTTAAATTGTAAATATTATAGTCGACAAGTTAATTAGTACTTTCTGACAATGTGAGATTTTGAAAAATGCTGAGAAAGGAGTACTCAAATGGCACTGTGTAAATGTGCGATATAGCGGATTTTGTAGAACAGAAAATCTTTTGTCTTCTGAAATCAGAACGAATTCTTAGAAAGATACGATATACAGACAAAAATTGGTACATCAATAATCCTATAATCTTAGGACCATTTGTTGTTAGTGGCTAAATGTTAGGAAAAATATTATTTTTCAATGTGAATTAATTAAATCAAGATTATTTCCATA